TGGAACTCGGAGGAGGCCTAATCTGTGCGATCGAATAGGTCGCAAGGAGGTAATTGGCAGGAGGCGGTCTCTCAAGTACTCAGATCTTCCTGTGGTGAGGAATAGACAGGCAAGTGACTCCTGGAATACTTAGAACTGCTGGCAATGTGTAGTCAGTGAGAAGAGCTCTGTGGAGGTAAAGCAGATGACTGATTGTGTTTCATATTTCTCTTTCTCCCCAGTCTCTCAAGAAACCAGTCCAGGTGTTCCCGGAACCCAGTTTGAAAAACCTTGTATTACAGCATTGTGGAAAATATTAGGTGACCCAAGCTTTATGTGCTCAGTTACGAAAATGTGGTTTAAATAGTTAAAAAAATACACCAAAAATAATCTTAATATAACTGCAGCTGAAGGCGTTTGGCCATATTTCTTCTGAACAGATCCGGCTTGAGGCAAATGAAATCCTCATGTTTCCCGCGTAGAGTTGCATATTCCAGTTCATTACTCAAACAATAGATTAGCTTTCTCTCTCCCTCTCTTTCTCATCACATAACCATATGGTTAAAAAAAAGGATAGGGAAGAGGGAGGGGTTTGGGCCTCAGAAAAAGCTATAGGCAGGGATCTTCTTTTATTAAGATACTTGCAAACTAGTTGTTTAAATGTTTGTGTCACGTCAAAGGCCACAGATTATACCATGGAAAGGCAAATGCGACTCTTTCCCATCCAAACATTGCTCAGTTTTAGTAATTCCTTTGCAGGCCTAAAAACTCCTTTATGTTACTTCCTAAACTGCTTTGGATTCCATGTTCATGGTGCCATCTCAGTTGTATATTAAAAATAAAAAATAAAAAAAATAAAAGCTGTACTGTGATAACTGAGGTGACACTTATCTAAAAGTTAAACGGACCTTTACACATCGCAGAGGCTTGAAAGTCACGGAGAAATATGGAGATGACCCTGAAAAAGGAATTCAGTGATAATTATATATAAACATTTATATATCTCATCTTGATAGACAGGAGGAAGCAAGGGGGGGGGAGATCAAGATGTTATGTGTTAATTCTCGTTAGTATAAAAAGAGAGAAAGAAATTCTGTTAGGCTTTCAAGGTTATTATCATTATACACGCTAATAAGAAAGTAGAGTTTCATTAGTTCATGTAGCATCTATATCTGGTCTGGCTCAATTGCTTCTATCACTTCTGATAACTTGGTGATTTTGCAGAATATCCTTAGTCTATCCAAACGAGAGGAAAAGATGATGTAAAGAAATATACAGTGTGGAGGAACTCTATAGTAGATGCCTACTTTTGCTGCTTTCTGTTCAGAGGTGGGTTCCTACCAGTTNGCCCCCCTGGTCACAGCTGACAAATGGTGTTCAAAGGTCAGCTGTGGATCCAGGAGGACTCCCAAGTTGCGGACCCTGTCTGAGGGGCATAAGATGGTAGATAGGGAGGGAGGGAGGGAGAGGTAGTGGTAGGGGCAGGGGTAGAGAGAGAGGGAGAGAGAGGGAGGGAGAGGGAGAGAGTCTGACTTTGGACTGATTGCAATCCCACTGGCAAGAACTAAAGAAAAACCCCATGGGTCTGATTATGGAGGAATTGTTAATGCTCAGATTCATCTAGTTTATACTTACTCTAGCACTTCGTTTCATCAAGTTTCCTTAATGCTCCCCAACCTGCCCCCAAAGAAGTGGGGCAATTTAAGCCAAGTGAATATTGTGTTGTTAAGAACATCCAATAAGTGATGTCTCAACAGCAGAGTGTTACTTCTATACCCTCCTCTGTTTTGTCAGGGCCTATGAAAATGAAATATTGAACAATGCTCTGGTGCTTCTGCCTGCAATTTCCATGGTATTAGGATGAAATGTAGTTTAAAACATCTTAAACATGGCTGAAAATTGGGGTTGTCACAACTGAGAGGGATCAGAAAATGTTTGAATTTTTTAATAAGGAAGGCAAGGGAGTTTCGTTGAATGTTAACATTTGCATGCTACTTCACTGTGTTAGGAATTTAATTCTAGATTATTTTAAAAAATGCAATCGTTTCATTCTCAACATCTGTGTTTTTTTATTGTCAAATCCACTAAAATGAATACACCTATAATCAAAATATAAAGATGATTGTATTTCCCATGGCAACGTATAATTCCAGATGAAAGTGAAATTTTAAAATCATGCTCAGGCATGGCATGGGAATCTGTACTTTTCAAGGCTTTAAAGTGATTCCAGAGGCTTCAGCTTTGATTCTGGCAAAAGCACTAAGAAAAGGGAAATAATCCTTTCCTCAATCCCATTGTCTTAATCTAAATTAGCTTTGAAGCTTCTCTAAGCCTCCTAGGGGAAAAAAATACAGACACTTTACCAATATCTACATTTTTCCTCCTTATAAATCTAGCGGAAAATCATCATGTGTTTTAAGTACAAAACACATGGTACTGAGCTCATCCTACTCAAATTCTGAGAAAATGTCAAGATTGAGACATTCCCATTATATAAACCTGGTAAATCTTGCTACTTTAAGTGGTTGGTTGAGTCAGCATATTGCCCACAACAATCTGGGTCCTCATTTCACTGACCTTGGAAGGATGGAAGGCTGAACCAACCTTGAGTCAGTGAGAATCGAACTGCCAAACTGCTGGCATCTGCAGAAGTAGCCTGAAGTACTGCATTCTAACCACTGTGGCACCACAGCTCTACCCACCACCTAACCATGATGTATGGCAGGAGTCGGCAACCTTAACACACTCAAACACTTCTTTTCTGTGGGAAACACCCATTTCCCACAGAAGAGAAAACACCAGGAGCCACAAAACTCTTCCCATGCCTGATTATTTCCTAAGCAGCCACAAAACTATTATATGTGGTTGAATTAAGTTTTCTTCTGAAACTTTTCTTTTCTTTGATTTAACCTACCCAGGATTGAAAAGCTAAATAAATCACTCAATAAAGCAGAAGGATGAAACCAGAGCCACAGGTTGCTGGCCCCTGATGTATGGCTTTGAGATAATCCAAATAAGAAGCACACCAATGGATGCAAACTCTATCATTATATTATGAGAATACATTAACTGTAATACATTGAAAGTCTAAAAGTATTTCTCTCTTTCCTTACATTCTCTGTAAAGCTAGAGTGGGTTCCTTCTGAAATGCTTCCCATATCACCCACATCCTTCTTGAGCTGAGATATTTTGCAGGTTGCCCAATCTGTGGATTTTCTTCCTTCACCCAAGATCTTTTTTACCTAGTAGTCAGCAGTGGGATTCAGCCGGTTCACACCTATTCGGGAGAACCGGTTGGTAACTTTCTAAGCAGTTCAGAGAACTCAAGAGTC